CCAGGTCTGCCCCCTCGTCTACAATCAAGTCCCGGACGAGGGGAGCCTTATGGATAACAGACCTGGCATAATAAAATGAAAAAAAAAAATTCTATTGTATGTCTACAGCAGGAAACTGGTGGTTAAAGTATTACATTTACACTAATTGATCTCCCATTTCTGTACAGTATTATTGCTACTGCCTTTGCAAATGTGAACATTGGGATCAAAATCAAAGCTTTTGGCAATCAAGACCAATGAACTCTACTCAAAATTCAGCACTTGGGTCTATTAACCAAGGATGGAAGCAGGAACACATGTATTTGTTTTATTATTTATATACAGTATCTGAAAAGGCTCCAGTGGGACAGAGAGGAAAGATCCATTTGATTACTTGGTAAAAGTCAGATTTCAGCTTTTGGCTCTTAATACCTGACACCTAACTATGCCATTATGACATAATGTCTAACATATTTTTTAAAAATTATCCCATAATTTAATATGGAAAGTAATCCTTTTTAAAAGCAAAATAGCATTCACTGGATCTATATTTCAGGGACACATAATTGCCTCTTCTATACAGTTGCAGAATTTCCTATTCCCTAAAATAAGATAGGTGTGATTTTAATTGCAAAAATTAAGTAGGCATAATATACCATATGTTTCGGAGTATAAGATGCACCGGAGTATAAGACGCACCAAGATTTCGAAGAGAAAAAGAAAGAAAAAATAGTTTTTGGCTTCCGTGTGGCCAGTTTTTGCTCTCTCTAGCTCCCAGGAGCACTCTGCAGGCCTCTCAAGCCTTCTGCATGCTCCATTTTTTTTTGTAAAAACACGCCCATTTTTGGCCTACCAAACTCCTCAGAAGTTGCTCTCTCCAGCCCCCAGGAGTACTTTACAGCCCTTCCAAACCCTCTCCATGCCCCGTTTTTGCCTAAAATGTACGGGGTTTCGGGAGGCCCAAATGGCCATATTCAGTGTATAAGATGCACCAACATTTCCACCCTCTTTGGGGGGGGAGTGTGTCTTATACTCCAAAAAGTATGGTACTGTTTTAACTAAACCTTTTTGAAAGCAGAACAGACATCTTTGGATAGATTCTTCCTACTTCTAAACCACAATTGTGTCCCACTCCAACCGCACCCAATACTGCTTCAGAAGGTTATTTATTCTTTCTAGAACTTGACTGGACACTTATCTCTACTTGTGCAACTTTGGATTGCGTTCCTTTTATATGTATTTAAGAAATACTGTAGTCATCCCTATAAAACTGTCAAAACTAATTGTACAAATACAAGGGAGTTTTCCTCTATTCAGTATTAAGTATCTCAGAATTCAGTGCTACTGGCTTATTGCCGATTGTTCATAAAATGCATAGCTTTAGACTTTGATTTCTTCTGATTTCTAATTCTTCATATTGCATAGCAACGCTGAAACTCTAGGGAGTCTTTGAAGTATCATACTTTGCCACCCAAATCACTCTTTGGAACCAGAATTATGTTGTTGTTATTATTGTTTTCAATATTTCTTTAAAATAATCTTTTCAACTTCTTTATCCATTTCAAATCCTAAGGTGGGCAAGCGTAAGGCATAGGCCACTGTAACAGTATCATGTATTTACAGGATTATTTTTCTTGGCATGCAGTTTAGACTTTACATGCTATGTGGCTGAAACTAGATTAGCTTCTAGTGCTAAAGAATACTCACTAAGAATTTGCTAGCCCTGACGAATCGTTGTATATGCTTACAAGTTTGTTATTTTAGTGTAATGATGCGAATTCTATAGATTGTTCCAACACTCCTGTAGTATTCTCTATTTAAGGAAGAACAACTGTCAGCGCTTATTTTTAGAATTTGCTCAGCAGCTGCTTCCAAACGATATCCACATTCCATGTGCTCGTCCACTGTGTAGAAATGTGTTGTGTCACACTGATCTAAAGCTTTGTGCAACCTTTCTCTATTTCAGCTTTGGTTTGCATTCGTTAATGGATTCTCTGGGCAGATTTTATTTGAGCGCTGGTGCATTGGGCTCTACAATGTGGTAAGTGTTCTCCCCTCTCCACTGGATATCAGGCCAAACTGGGAATGACATTCCAGGGCTGTTCACATCTATGCAGTTTACTTCATCATCTGATCCTCTTCACTTGGGCTTGCTGGCCAGTAGGCCTGAACAAAAATATAAAGCTTTTGCTTTTATTCCTGATGTGAAATAATTCCTTAAAAATTTAAATAATTCTTTAAACCTAGCAAATGCCTCCACAATGTATGGCCAACTGAGTCAAAGTGGCCCCAACATGGACAATCATGCAGGATATTCTATTCCACAGAGGAATTATTGAGTCTCTCATCTGCACCTCTGTAACTGTCTGGTTTGGCTCTGCAATCAAACAAGACAGACAGAGACTTCAACGGATCATTAGAATTGCAGAATAAACAATTTGCTACCAATCTGCCATCCATTGAGGTCGTTTATACTGCAGGAGTCAAAAAGAGGGCTGTGAAAATAACTACAGACCCCTCACATCCTGGACATAAATTGTTTCAACTTCTACCCTCAAAACGATGCTATAGGGCACTGCACATAAAAACAACTAGACACAAGGACAGTTTTTTCACAAATGCCATCACTCTGCTACACAACTAATTCCGACAACACTGTCAAACTATTTACTGTCTGCATTAATATTATACTGTTTCTCTGAAAATAAGATCCTCCTGGATAATAAGTCAATCAGGCTTTTGAGCACATGCGCTAAAATAATCCTTCCCCACAAAATATTGCAACATAGCAGCAACCATGAGGTGACCACGCTCGCCGCCTCCTGCAGCCCCCCCCCAAAATACGGCCAAGTGCTTATTTGGGGGGGGGGGAATCAAAAGAAAATAAGACCCTGTCTTATTTTAGGAGAAACACAAATTATTCCCTAAGGCTTCATTACTATTAATCTTCTCATCATTCCTATCACCCATCTCCTCCCACTTATGACTTTATGACTGTAACTTTGTTCCTTGTATCCTTACAATTTATATTGATATTGTTCCTGATTGCTTATTTGTACCCTGTAACT